TGTAATGTGGGGGATGAAGGAAAAGCAGGACGAGAGCAAAGGAGATGAGAGACAATGGCCTCTGCTTTTATCTCATGGATGTCAACTTGGACAGACACACACACTCAAACAAATCAGGGGGTGTAAAGATTTCCAAGCTGATGTAAAAAAAAAAAAGGAAATCCCACAAAGACCAAATCTCTTTGAAAACACTCTTAGCTCTCCTGCAGTAATTCCTCTCTGAAATCCCTACTCAGCACATCACACACACACACACACACACACACACACACACACACACACACACACACACACACACACACACACACACACTAGCATTCCCACTCTCTCACTTAAACCAGCTTCCTGTTCAGGTTACATATCAGCATGAACACATCCTTTGTTGGCTCATCACTCAGTAAACCAAATTATACATATTCACCTATATTTGCCTTTTTTCTTGAGCTTTTCCTCTGAAATAAGGGCACCCTAGAAAAGAAATATGTCGATCTAACCTTCTGAATATCAAAGAAGATGTAGACGCATGCATGCTTGCACACGCATACACAAACACGTATTTACAAATCATCAGCTGGCAGACAGCGTGGGCTGGAACGCAACAGTGATCAGAGATAATGGGCAGACAGGGAAGGCACACCAAGAGAGGAGGGAAGGAGGGAAGGAGGGAAGATGGGGCACGAGTCAGAAAAAGAGAGACAAAGACAAAAAGAGAGGAAGAAAGAACGTGAGGGGAAAGGAAGAAACTCCCAGTTGATCAGCAGCAGACAAAAGATAGGGAATGAGTGAACATGCCAGCTCATGTCAGCTCTGAGACACCCCTCCCCCTTCTGGGCCCCCTCACAAATTAGAGGCATCCCCTTCTGCTTCTCCCACTCCTTTTCCATCTTCTTCTTCTTCTTCTCGACAGGGGGTTGATGATAGGATGTTCTTCACCTGATGTTTCTCACTCTCCTGCTGACGACTCTTCTAGTCTTGCTCAACTAGACGGGTGACATTACTAACGGAGGCACGAACGCGTCAGTGTGACATTATGTTCACACTGACTCATTCAGCCTCTCTTGCACAATTTCTCATGTTTTCAAAAAGCAGTTTTAAAGGACAGCGCTGTGGAACTACATGCACATGGATACCGAAAGGGGTTCAACACACTTGACTCGTGCGCCCTTGAATGAAACAATGTCTCTGTGTGTAGCCATCATCACCAGTAGCGTGGTTTATAACCAGGTCAACCAAAGACCTTATTCCGGTTATCCTGTTCTGTAAATCATCTCAGATCATCTCAGATGTATCTTGACACACCCTTGTGAGTCATTGCCGTGTACTATCAGCTACACTGAGGGATTCCCCAGCTATTAAATGCAACTATGACAGAACCGGCGCCTTAATTGCACACACTCCAGAGAAACAGAAACCGTTTTCAGTGTCTCTCCACCTTAAGCTGTCAGTTTTGTCTTTGTCTTTGTCACCCGAAACAGATTTCATTTGTATATTTCTGGTACGATGACAGCAGCAGAGTCAAAGACAGACACGCAGAGAACCCACAGGCACACATTCAAAAAAGCAAACATTTAAACAGCTTGATTGCATGTGGGGAGAGGGGCACGGGCGGCTGCATAAGCCCTGTATTTGCTTAACAGCAGAAATAAGACAACCACTGAGGAAGTGGGATGGAGGGTTTCCTAACAACGGTTGCAAGAGGAGAGGAAGACGCACAAAGATGAGAGGGAGAGAGACATCACCCCCTTCCATGCTAATGGCATCATCCCTTTATCATGCCTGCACACGCTCATCACACTGCAACCTATGTTCTGTGTGTGTTATTATACAGAGATCAGAGGAGTCATATTCACTGAAGAGGAAAGACAAGTGAGAGTGTTTGCAACCAGCTTGATGATGATGATGATGATGATGATGATGATGATGATGATGATGATGATGATGATGATGATGATGATGATGATGATGATGATGATGATGATGATGATGATGATGATGATGATGATGATGATGAAAGCAATGAATCCTTTTCAGTTATAAAATGTATTGTTTTCTTGGAGAGTGTATGAGCTTTACATAAGCAGATCAAAGGATGAGTGTGACTTGATTATTTGTATTTGTCGTATAGATTGTATCAAGGCTGCAGAATAGTATGTTCACTGTGAATCTGCGTTATACAAAATAATCATCAAACTTTAGGGTTAAGACTTGGTATTTGATTAGGTTCATGTAAATATTGTAGTACTCATGTAGTTATTGCCTCAGTTAGGCTGTTAACTGGAAGGCAGGATGTGTGTAAAAGAGGACACACCTACTTACATCTGCCCTATAGGTGAGCTGACTTAGCCTGAGAGAAATACATCAATCTGGGTCAGTATGTGCACACACACACACACACACACACACACACACACACACACACACACACCCCACACACTCAGCCACAGGGCTCACTTAGCGGAGCCCCATCCCCCCTTTCACGCTCACAAACAATATTAGCTTA